TTTGTTAGCCGTTTTGCAGAAAAGAATTAGCCGTTTTTAGCCGATTTTGCTATTTGCCTTGTTTTCTTAAATTTCAAATATGTATACATGTTTCTATTTTTGACTAAGCGACCCAAAATCTGTTAGAAATGGATACAAGCCTTATCGTGGAGAAAATTTTCGTGTCAGGCAGGGTTGTATGAAATTGGGCCGATTTCGCTTATTTTTATTTTAAACGAAGAAGGGATTTTCTTCATAAAATGTTTGTTATAAATGTCTTAATTTTAAGTGTGAAGTTTTATTCGCAAACTTAAAAAATAATAAATTGTTTCACTGTTAAGACACTTAAGATGCGTTTGTGTTTGGATATAGTGCCAACAGAAAAAATATTACATGTAGATATTGTCTTCCCAGATAGCGCATATTCAATTCTGTCTAAATTACAAAACATAATTTTTGCCCACTCCCAAAGGTTTAAGGTAAGGGAAAATTGATATTTTCAAGCACTATGTACACATATGTATTTTTTTAAACAAACTTTTTTGCTGAGAACTTATTTAAATTCAAAAAACCAAATGCCAACTTGAATTAAAGGAACCAACACTGAAGTGACTCAAAATGAAAATAAAAGAGCACAAATTTCTATGTAAAGTAAAACTCTCTGGGAATCCTACGAGACATCTGCCGGTCATATGACCGGTCATCTAAATGGGAGATCTGCAGTCTTTTGGCATCATATTTTACATCAGAATTGAAGGGATTTCTGAAAAATCTGACCAGTTCTTTTGTGTAACTATGATTTTGCATCCCTTGTCAACATATGGCCTCGGTTGATGTTAACTTAAGGTCGTTGTTTTACTGCCTTAAAACTGAAGGGAAATTTTGACAGCGTTTTTTATGTGTATTGGTTTCTATTTGAGTGTATTGAGAATCGGTCAGTCTGAAAAGGCCTTGTAGGGAGGACAATAGGTTTGTTCGTCGAAAATCCAGCGAGAATTAGCGCTCAAAATATCAGATGGTAAGAAAAAATGCTCCCAAATTCTCTCTCATGTAGAGAAACTTGCAATTTTCTGTACGAACGCAAATTTGCAAGTTTTTCTGCCAGCTAGTGTCCACGGTTGCATTTCAAACAAAAGAAATTTGTATAGAATTTTTAAAATTCTTTCAGAGGGGTAAAAAACAGAATCTACGTGTATATATCTTGTAAGTCCGACTTTCTTCAACATACGTTTCAATTTCTTTGGCGGGTTTACTATATCGACTCTGGTTTAGATTGCATTCCGATTGAGAATACAGTTTTTTGGCCAGTACCTTTCAAATCATTGGAATTAACTAAATTAATTAAGTAAAAAAGTATTAACCTACATTTTTCATTTTAAAATCGCTCCAGATTGTAAATTTTTAAATTTAACGAACTTGTTTATTTAAATTATCGTCGGCAAAAAATCCAACCATTTGTCACAATCATATGTTTTTACTAATTGCAAATTCTTGCTGGCAAAATTTTTTCCGGCAGGAATTTGTAACTTCTCTCCAAGAATTTGTCTTTTTACTCGTGATTTGTTTAAATAAAACATGTGAAATTTAATTGAAAAATTTTAGCCGTTTTTAGCCGGTTCGTCCAAAAAGTTCTGGCAACACTGCAAACTACTGTGTATAAATGTATATGCATCTCATGTTACTTGACAAACTACTGTGTGTTCAAACTACTGTGTACAAAATACTGTGTTCAATAAATTTCATTATTATCGAAGTAAGCTGTTTTCGTGTTCCTTTCCATTATGTTCTTCGGGTGTGTGAGCGAGGTAAAAGCATTTCGCTTTACCGAGTGTGCTTATGCGCGTCACGACAAAAACCATGATTCAATTATTAAAGGTTTTGTAAGTAGCTTTTTTCTAAAATTTGGCACTCCCACCCACAGGGATGATTAATGGAAGCAGGAGAAAAAGGGGAAGAATTCAATCACACTTCCTAAAATGGGAGCTAAATTCCATAAAAAGGTGTGGATAATAGTGAATGGTGGTATTTTAAAACAAAAACGAATTTGATTTAATTGCTTAATTTAAACAAGCTTATTTACATCGAATATAACCCCCAATTGTTATTAAAAATAAATATTTCTATGTACATATATACCAAACTTGCGAACGTCAGATGGCGCATAACTCGAGGGATGGTCCACTTTCAGCTTTTATTGTTGTATTTGTTTGCCAGATGATGGATATGAAGAAGCTATTTGTTTGTGGAAAATATGCAATATTTATTTAAAAAAAAAACGGCAAATAAAAAAATTTGGAGCTTACGTTTCTTTCGCGGTTATGGCTCGATTGTTTCGAATATGGTAATTCGAATTCTTTGATGTCGCACTTTTAATGTTCTGGGGAGAATATTCAACACTGGCTTACACAGCCGCAATTGGCGATTCGTGCCGGACGAACTCAGGAAGAATAAAAATGACACGCAGCTACTGAACGACTGAGATAGGGAACGTGATCTACATCGTCAAATGAGAAGTGGCGTAATGGGGCTTTCGCACGAGGCGATTTTCAGGCAACTTTTGCGTTCACCTCACGCCGGGTTGCACGAAAAAAAATTTGAATGACTAAAAATATCAAAATATAAAAAAATATCAAAATATTCGCCATAAAAAGGCGTTTGCATTGTTCAACTTTGCGTTCTACTTTTAGTTGAACGGCCTTTCAACTAAATCGCTTTCAACAAAGTTGGTCGCCAGCCAACGTTCGCCTCGTGCGTACACCTTTTAGGTGTGCAATTACTTCGCGCCATTGACTAAACCGAGCTGTCGTGTGACGATTGGGCCTATGCGTCAAAGTCTCATTCGGAGACACTAGGATTGTGTTGTGGAGGACAATACCTAAATACCTTCGTTGGCTTATTTACCAAAACCATTGTACGCTTTACTTTACAGCGACTTGGCAGAATCAAGAGGTCTCCAAGAATATCGACAAATACATTTCGGCCTTTAAGGGAATTTCGTCTCTTTAGCCTACATTGAATTTCTGTAGTCCAACGATTCTCACCCATTTTGTCCTGTTGGCGCCAGCGAATGAAGAACAAACATTTCTTCAAATTTAAAAAGTAAAAATTTCACTACTAACATTTTAAAAAATGTTCTTAAAACTTGCAAAGAAATTCGGAAAAGAAATATCACTGTTTTTGTTTTTAGGAGTAGGGTGGGAGTGTCATTGATAAAATTAGAGCGAGAGAAAGTTTTTCTTACAAAACCTTTCATTATTGAATCATGACAAAAACCATTAGTATTGAAAATGTGAGAAAGAGACGAAAGTATATGCACCGAGTTGTGTCTGGTGAATACACTAATACCATGATTCAATAATACAAGGTTAGATAATTATTGACAGCTGCGGTTTGACACTCCCTTACAAAAGGTTGCATTTACGAAGGACAGAGAAAGGGCAAGAATGCAATCCCTTGTTGCGAAAATAATAGTAGAAAAGTACGCAAAGTAGGCAATTAGTAGTGAAATTCCTTTCGTAAATTCTAATGTATTTGCAGGAAGTCTGGCATTTTAAACGAAATGTTGAACGTAATATTGATGTATCTATGTGAATTACGTAATTTATGTGCTATTCAAATGTATAAAAACTGCAAAATGACTCAAAATTAAAATAAGACTACTATGAGATTGATGAAACATCCAATTTTAAAACAGTTTATGTTTTCATCAGTTAAATATGCTTCATATGCATATGCAATAAAACATATTGCACAAACGCTCATACTTCTATTTCACACCAAAGCTACACTGTTTTCATGTAAATGTTCAAAGAAGCAACACGGTGCCACTTGCTAAGGGAGCGGTGCGAGAGAGACAACTGTCAGTTTATCGAACCTTGTATTCAGCGTTGCCATTTTAGCCGTTTTCCGGCTAGATTTAGCCGGTTTTGATAGCAACTAGCCGGAGAAAATTCGATCTAGCCGGCAGCCGATTTGTTAGCCGGTTTGTAAAAAAAAGTTAGCCGTTTTTAGCCGATTTTACTATTTGCCTAATTTTCAGGTGCAAAAAGTAAACAAGTTGTTCGAAAGCAATAATGCAGACCCAATGAAGATTTTTAATGAACTCAATGTTTTACTTTCGCATCTATGCTCCCTTGTGGTTATTAGCGCGGACACATTTGATCCTATATGCTCCCCGTTGGAACCATACCTTGCTCCATTTCCTCAGTTTTATCACAGTTTTGAAGAGTATTTAAAAACAAAAGTAAGCACAAACGCTTTTGACCACGAAGCCGAGAAAATAATTCGAGAAAATGGTCGCTATTTTATTATCACTTTAATAAAGGAATTACGCCAACGCCTCCCTACAAATATTGCCACACTAAAAAAAGATTACGTTTTTCGGTTGGAAATGCATTAAGAGTAATTAAACCAAAAGTATTTGTTCAAAAACACAAATATAACGCCGACGAAATAACATCCATAGAGATGCAATAGCAACGGTTAACGTTACATACCTGGAGTAATTTAGACTCAACTGTAAATTTTTGGGCCGAAGTTTATCAATTTCGAAATGCCCTAGGAGAAAACCCTTTTGCTGACCTTTGCAACCTAGTTTTTAGATTTCTTGTTTTGCCTATAAGTAATGCAGAAGTAGAGCGAATATTTAGTTCAATGAATATAATAAAAACTAAGCAAAGAAATCCAATGTGTGTTAAAACGTTAAACGCTATTTTATATATAAGATACGGTTTAAAACGTGAAGAAAAATGCTGCCATAATTTTACTGTAGATGACGATCTCTTAAAGTTAATGAATTCAGGTGATATATACAATAGTGATTCATTTGATGATGAGGAATATACACTCGATATAAATTAATGGTGTTAATTAGTCTTTCCTTTCTTGCGATTTATTTAAATAAAGCATATGGATTTTCACTAAAACATTTTAGCCGTTTTTAGCCGCTTTTTTTTGCCAATCTAGCCGGTCGGCCCAAAAAGTTCTGGCAACACTGCTTGTATTATTGAATCATGCACTAATACAAGAAGGATAAAGCGCATTTTGAACTGCGTAGGGCATTATGGTGAAAAGACTTGTGGAAGTCGGGTGCGCATTTGTACACTGCGCTTTACTGGAGAAAACTATCTGATCGGATATTAATTAAAATTATGGAAACCGGCGTTTACATTAACGGCGCTCCTGCCACAACACCAACTTGCAACGAAATAAGTATCAATGGTATTTCTAATGGAGTGCCGTCATCAGAAGTGGGATGGACTCCCCCATCTTCATTGAATGCAAATGAGCAGTTGCGCCAAATATTGGAACAGCAAAATCGACAATTTATTGCACTATTCAAAGCGGTACAGTCACCACCAAAATCCACCAGACAGGGCGGAAGTATTACAGTACCAAAATTTAACCCTGACGTTTGGGGTGTAGATGCGATTTCCTGGTGCTCAACTGTGGACGTAATAATGGCAGACAATCCTTTAGAAGCCAGTACACTTATTATAGCCCTCAGTAAGTCAATGGAGGGGTGTGCATCGTAATGCTTGTCTCAAATAAGCTATGCGGGAATTACTTGGCAACAATTTAGAGAGTTGTTTGTGCAGCGATTTGGAGGTATTGAGACACCAGCAGCTACTATGATTGATCTATTCAATGGTCACCCAAATGATAATGAGTGCATCTCAGTGTATGCAAGTCGACTAGTAACCTCACTTATTCATAAATGGAAATCACTAACTATTGAGGAAATAGCTATCGCAGTGGTTCTTGCACATTCTGCTCGTTTTGACAACAGTTTGCAACGTTTGTTATTTAAAACGAGCATAAAGACACGAAATGAACTCCAGCAAGAACTCAGAGCCTTTGCGTTTGGCAAAAGAAAGTTTGCTTTTGAAAATCAGCCAGAGTCAAAGAAACATAAACCATCGCCTTACCTAAAATGCCATTTCTGCGGAAAAGTGGGCCATAAAATCGCCGATTGCCGGTTGAAAAAAGATAAAGGCAAATCATAAATGAAATCAGGTAAATTTTCGGGCAGCTTGATAGCAGAAAAAGGTCGATCATCACTTATTTGCTTCAAGTGTGGAGAAGCTGGCCATATTGCATCAAACTGTAACAAAAGCAGCAATTAGTATTCAAGCAACAATAAATCCGGTTTGGAAAAGAGAGTGGACGCATGCGAAGTAATCGAACCTAAGGGAGTACTGAGTCAATCTGGTGAGTCATATCAATTCTGTTTTGATTCCGGGGCTGAATGTTCGCTTCTTAAGGAAACGGTGTCGGAGAAATTTTCGGGAAAACGTATAAATAATACTGTATTTTTAAAAGGTATCGGAAATACATCTATATGTAGTAATTTTCAAATCCTATCGAATGTTAAAATCGGTGATTATTCCCTCGAAAGTTTTATTCCATGTAGTACTAGATAAATATTTAAAGCACGATGTTATGATTGGCCGTGAAATTCTGAACCAGAACTTCGGTATTATTATTACCGCTAATAAATTTAAAATTTTTAAAGAAAAGATAGCAAATACATGTACTAACAGCTCATTTACTCTTGATACCGACCTATCAGAAAATGATAAATCTCAGTTAATGTCATTGATGAGTGAGTATTCCCAATTCTTCATAGAAGGTATTCCGCAAACTCGTGTCACCACTGGTCAATTAGAGATACGGTTAATTGATCAAAGTAAAACTGTGCAAAGGCGTCCCCTATAGGCTTAGTTCGGAAGAAAAAGAGATTGTTAGAAATAAAATAGCGGAGTTGATAAAATACAATATAATTCGCCCTAGTTGTTCTCCGTTTGCTAGTCCTATGCTACTCGTAAAGAAGAAAAACGGGGCTGATCGCCTTTGTGTTGACTACCGCGAATTGAATTCGAACACAATTTCCGATAAGTATCCATTACCACTTTTATCTGACCAAATTGCCAGGTTGCGGGGAGCAAATTATTTTTCTTGTTTGGATATGGCGAGCTGATTTCACCAAATCCCTGTTCACCCAAAATCAATTGAACTCACTGCTTTTGTCACGCCAGAGGGGCAGTATGAATTTTTAACTATGCCCTTTGGACTCAAGAATGCTCCATCGGTTTTCCAACGAGCTGTGATGAAAGCATTAGGGGACCTTGCATACTCGTATGTCATAGTGTATATGGATGACATTATGATTATTTCCTCAACAAAAGAGGAAGCGTTTGAAAGATTAGAGGTGGTGTTGAATGTTTTGACAAAGGCTGGGTTTTCGTTTAATATTACTAAATGTTCTTTTCTAAAATCGAGTGTTGAATATCTAGGATATGAAATTAAAGCCGGAGTAATTCGACCCAACCCACGTAAAATTCAAGCATTAACAGCTCTACCACCACCTCAATCTGTTCACCAGTTAAGACAATTTATAGGGTTGGCTTCGTATTTCCGCCAATTTGTAGCAGAATTTTCACAAATAATGAAACCACTGTACTTTCTTGTCTCTAATAAAAACAATTTTATTTGGAAGTCAGAGCATGAACAGATACGACAGCAGATAATTTCTATATTGACAAATAAGCCAGTTTTAATCATTTTTGATCCGCAATATCCAATCGAATTGCATACAGACGCTAGTGCCGATGGCTATGGTGCTATTCTGTTACATAAAATTAACAATAAGCCACATGTTATCGAATATTATAGTAAAAGAACTTCTCCTGCGGAATCTAGACATCATTCATATGAGCTAGAGACTTTGGCCGTCGTTAACTCGATTAAACATTTTCGACACTATCTGCAAGGGCACCAATTTGTTGTAGTCACGGATTGTAATTCTATCAAAGCATCGCGTACCAAAAACGATTTAACACCGAGGGTCCATCGTTGGTGGGCCTATCTGCAATCCTTTGATTTTGTAGTTGAGTATGCAGAAGGTAAACGGATGGCTCACGCAGACTTCTTTTCTCGTAATCCATTGCCCTCTGATAATCCGCCAGTTACGAGAATTCCAGAGAAGCATGTCAATCTTGCAGAAATTTCGGAAGATTGGCTCCTTGCAGAACAACAACGGGATCCAGAAGTAGCTTCTATTGTTTGCAAGTTAAGAAATAAAGAACTTAACAGAGATGTGGCGAATACATATGAACTGCGTGCGGGCACTTGTATAGAAAAATACAAAGAAATGGCAAAACGAAATGTTTACCAGTTGTTCCTAGACTTTTCAGGTGGTCCGTAATTAATCATGTGCATGAGTCAATTATGTATTTGGGTTCAGAGAAGACACTTGACAAGGTTTATGAATATTACTGGTTCGATAATATGTCTAAGTACGTTAGAAAATTTGTTGAAAATTGTATAACCTGCAAGCTATCTAAATTACATACAGGCAAAATACAAGCAGAACTGCACCCAATTCCTAAAGCTAGCATTCCATGGCATACCGTTCACATCGATATTACTGGCAAATTGAGCGGTAAGAATGACCTTAAGGAATATATTATCGTGCAAATTGATGCATTTACTAAATTTGTTTATTTATATCATACTATAAATGTTGACACAGAAAACTGTATTAGGTCCCTCAAGTCATCAATTTCACTATTTGGTGTGCCTACT